AAACCTTATATTGTTAGTCGTTTGGTAACATAGCCATTTGTATTTTTTCCCTGTAATTTTTTAATTAATTTTTATTATTATACATATATATATACATACAGGTGCATATATTCAAAATAATAAACACTACATCTATCACAGACCAAAACATAACACACACCATCTAACATGTAACATACAACATGTAACGGATCCTTCACCTTCCCTCATATGGCCTAGATCTTTACTCTTATATTTTCGCCAAGATATTATTTGTTAAATGACATTCGAGTGGAGTGTATAGAAGCCCCCCTTAGGATGGTAGCAGGCCAATCAGATAGAATCAAGGTACAATTTCTCCTTGCTTCACGAGATCTGGAGATCATTGAACTGACCGCTAAGTTTCTCCATTGTTTTATAAAACGGAAGAGTAACCCTGATCATATTAATGATTCTTAATTTATAAGTTTAAAAACTTAAGTTTAAAAGTTTGGAATGCCAGTTTATTTTATGATTCAGGCATCTTTTGTATGGTCAAATCTAACTTGTGACAACTTGAGTTAGGCCTGACATACCCACGACTATCTATTTTATAATTTCTCTTGGATTGTATTATTGGGAAATGTTTTAATATTCTATGCCAATAAAAGGTATTTGAATTTGAATTTGAACACCATCTAACATGTAACATATAACACATACCATCTAACATGTAACATATAACATGTAACACCTGCAGTTCAGCATCTTAACCACTTGAGCCACCGCAGCTCTTTGAGCTTATGAAACCAAATTTTTTACATGCAATTGTTATGAATTTGTGTTAGTTTCCAGCCATTTATATACCTGGGACCACACTTTTTGAAATACTGAATTCATATTTCCATGCCATTTTTGCGTTAAATTATCAATTTCCACCACCTCTATTATTTTATTAATAAAATCACATCTATGCGGTACCTTTTCACTTTTCGTTTCCCTGTAATTTTTTATGTGTGCGTGTGTGTGTGTACCTGGAAGGCATGGCGACCTCTGGCGACCAGTGTTCCCTCTAAGCCGAGTGAGTGTGAGCCAGCTCACAGTTCTTTAGCCTCCGGGTCACACGTTTTTGTCTCCGCTCAGGCAGGAGGGCCCCAGAGCAGACTAATTTGCGCAGCAGCCCAATCGCTCGCTCACCACTTTCAAGCCAGGAGCTCACAAAGTAGAATCTTGGCCCACAAGACTCCGTGGCTTAGAGGGAGCGTTGCTGGTGACTGACTGTGTGTGCACCTGGAACTCATGGGGACCGCTGGTGACCGACCCCTACTGGGGGCCTGGAGGATATCCAGAGAGGTGGCTGAGTAAAGCCTGCCCCCGCCTCCCAAATGCTGGTATTCCTTGGTGGTCTCCCATCCAAGTACTTGCCATAGTCGACCCTGCTGAGCTTACGAAATCTGGCTTGCCTGGGCTCTCCAAGTCGGGGTGTCTGGTAACATAGCAGTCTGGTAGTCAATGCAGCGGAAGGTTTAAAGCGGACAGTGGTTGAGAGAGTTAAGTGCGTAAAAAACACTGTGATGCCTTTCTGTGCGTTCCTCCCTCCTTGTCTTCTCTCTGTTGGCTTCTCCTCCCTTGTAGACTTCAAAGCTCCTTGGAAGCAGGGCGGCTACAAGCATGGACAGCTTCAAAAGGGAATTAGATAAGCGTATGGAGCAGAGGTCCATCAGTGGCTATTAGCCACAAGGTATAGATAGGGGCTCTGGGGCAAGTGATGCTCTGTCTTCTTGGTGCTTGGGGGGGGGGACAGTGGGAGGGCTTCTAATGTCCTGGCCCCACTGGTGGACCTCCTGATGGCACCTGGTATTTCTGGCCACTGTGTGACACAGAGTGTTGGACTGGAGGGTCCATTGACCTGATTCAACATTGGCTTCTCTTATGTTCTTATATGGAGCAGAGGTCCATCCGTGGCTGTTAGCCACAAGGTATAGATCGGAACTCTCAGTCTGGGGCAAGTGATGCTCTGCATTCTTGGTGCTTTGGGGGTGGGGGCAACAGTGAGAGGGCTTCTGGAGTTCTGGCCCTACTGGTGGACCTCCTGATGGCCCCTGGTATTTCTGGCCACTGTGTGACACAGAGTGTTGGACTGGATGGGCCTTTGGCCTGATCCAACATTGGCATCTCTTATGTTCTTATGACCCGGTCCCATTTGAAGAGGATCCAAACACTGGTTCCGAGCGTCTAAGGAGCACGTGTACGTCAAACAGTGTCCTGACCTGGACGACCCGGGATAGCCCAATCTTGTTAGATATCGGAAGTTAAGCGGGGTCGGCCCCTGGTTAGTACTGGGGTAGAAGACTACCCAGGAAGTCCAAGGGTTGCTATGCAGAGGCAGGCAAGGGCCAACCACCCTTCTTCATCTCTTGCCTTGACCCAGATAGCCCAGGATAGCCCGATCTCGTCATATCTCAGAAGCTAAACAGGGTCGGCTCTGGTCAGTATTGGGATGGGAGACCTCCAAGGAAGTCCAAGGGTCGCTATGCAGAGGCAGGCAAGGGCCAACCACCCTTCTTGATCTCTTGCCTTGACCCAGATAGCCCAGGCTAGCCCGATCTCTTCAGATCTCAGAAGCTAAGCAGGGCCGGCTCTGGTCAGTATTGGGATGGGAGACCTCCAAGGAAGTCCAAGGGTCGCTATGCAGAGGCAGGCAAGGGCAAACCACCCTTCTTCATCTCCTGCCTTGACCCAGATAGCCCAGGCTAGCCCAATCTCGTCGTATCTCAGAAGCTAAGCAGGGTTGGCTCTGGTCAGTATTGGGATGGGAGACCTCCAAGGAAGTCCAAGGGTCGCTACGCAGAGGCAGGCAAGAGCAAACCACCTTTCTTCATCTCTTGCCCTGACCCAGATAGCCCAGGCTAGCCCAATCTCGTCGTATCTCAGAAGCTAAGCAGGGTTGGCTCTGGTCAGTATTGGGATGGGAGACCTCCAAGGAAGTCCCCAAGGGTCGCTATGCAGAGGCATACAATGGCCAACCACCTCTGAATGTCCCTTGCCTTGAAACCCCTAAGGGATCAATTGGCTGCGATGTGATGGCATTTTCCAACTTCTCCATGTCAAATGGCAGCCTGTTCAAATGCTTTTACGTCCCACCACGTTAGGGGCCCTATTTTGAGTGAAAAGTTGGCGTAAAGATGCTTTCCATTAATAAATATAAATACTCTAGCTACTCATTGGAAGAATCCTTTACGTACCCATATCAATACTTGGTTGAGTCGAATTTGGTCCTGTTTTGTTATGGCAGAGATTACTGTTGGCACTATGCAACTGTACTCTGAGAAAGCTTCCGGTGATTTTGTGACAACCTGGTTTCCACTAATGCAATTCCTGTCTGAGCAGGATCTCATTCCGAATGATCCGATATACAAAGGCTGCGGTCACACGGAGCAGTAGCCACGCTATAGAGACGGAACATAGGCGGATTTTCCGGGCGCGATCACACCGCCACATCTGGGAAGCGTAGAGCTCCCGTGGCTCTCCCGAGGCTTCCCGCCGAAGATGCACTGTAAAAAACTAGTACCTCCGAGGTACTAGTTTCCGGAAACCGCGGGGCAAGGGCGGGCGTCTGATCGCGTTTCCGGTGGCATCCAGCGTCCGCCCATGTCCCCTCGCAAAAAGGTTTTTTTCCCCCCAAGTCTCCATGGGATGCGCACAAGCACCCAACGGAGCATGCGCATACTTCAGTTTAAAAAAAACAACACAACCCCGTTTGCCGCGCCGCCCCGCTTCTTTGCCTGTGGTGTGATCGGCACCTCCCCCCTAACCACGGGACCTCAACCGGATGTCTGATTGCGCAGCTGCGCGTTATTTTGCTCCGGGGCAAACAGCCACGCTTCCCCCCCGCATTTTCCAGCCCGTGTGACCGGAGCCAATGATACCATCTTTTTCTAGTTCTTTCTTGGCCTCCCCGCTTTCTTTCCTTTGTCGAAGGCCGAATGTATTGACGGTTCAGCTGTACTCAGATGAGCTGGCATGTTGTTTGGTGTTTTTTGTATGGAGTGGACCTGTATAGATTTAAATAAAAATTTAAAATATATATATATAAAAAAAACATCTCAAGCAGGGCACATTTTTCAGTGGCCATTTGACACTGGAACTCCCTTCCCATCACGGTTAAGCTGGCACCTACCTTGCAGAGATCTGCGTTCTGGTGAAGTCTTGTTTGGTTGATGCAACGATCTTTATGCGTCTTCCTCTCGGCCTTCCATTAATCTGTGCTCAGTGACTGCTGTGTTCCGTGTCTTTAAATTTATCTGTCTTAATAATGATGTTTTATATGATTGTATACGTTTAACCTAGCAGTTCGAAAGCAAGAAATTGCAAGTAGATAAATAGGTACCGCTTCAGTGGGAAGGGAACAGCGTTCCGTGCGCCTTGGCATCTAGTCATGCCGGCCACATGACCACGGAAACGTCTTCGGACAGCGCTGGCTCTTCGGCTTTGAAACAGAGACGAGCACCGCAACCCTAGAGTCGGATTCGACTGGCTTTCGAGCAAGGGAACCTTTACCTTTACTTTATACGTTTAATGCTAGTTTGGTGTAGAGAGCCAGTTTGGTGGAGTGGTTAGGAGGGGCAGACTCTAATCTGGGAGAAACCAGGTTTGATTCCCCACTCCTCCGCTTGCAGCTGCTGGTGTTACCTTGGGTCAGTCACAAGTGCCTTCAGATCTGTTCTCTCAGGAGCAGTTCTGGAAAGAGCTCTCTCAGCCCCACCTACCTCACAGGGTGTCTGTTGTGGGGAGAGGAAGGGAAAGATGACTGTAAGCTGCTCTGAGATTCCTTTGGGTAGTGAAGAGCGGGGTATAAATATCTTCTCTTCCTCTTTCTCCTCCTTCTTCCGCCTCCTCTTCCTCCTCTTCTTCTTTCTCTTCTTCCTCTTCTTCCTCCTCTTCCTCTCCCTCTTCTTCTTTCTCTTCCTCTTCTTCTTCTTTCACGCATGCGAAAAAGGGATGCATTTTGGGTATTCTAATGCTTGACCTTTTGCATTTAGGGGCAGGATGTATACGCTGCTGTCTGGACTTTACAAATACATGTTCCAGCGGGACGAATACTGCATCTTGATCCTTGGGCTGGACAATGCTGGGAAAACGGTGAGTCGGGCCGGTGCTCAGTCACATGGAGGGAGGGTTGCCAGCCTCCAGGCGGGGCCTGGAGATCTCCAGGAATGACAACTGATCTCCGGACTACAACGGTCAATTCCCCTGGGGGAAAATGGCTGCTTTGGAGGGTACCGCTATACCCCAGTGAGGTCCCTCTCCAATCCCTGCCCTCCCCAGGCTCCATCCTCGAATCTCCAGGAATTTCCCAGTCTACAGTTGGCAACACTATGTGGTGGGCAGAGGAATTCCTGCTTCTTAGGCCTTTTGGTATAGTGGTTAGAAGTGCAGACTCTAATCTGGGAGGACCGGGTTTGATTCCCCTCTCCTCTGCATGCAGCTGCTGGTGTGACCTTGGGTCAGTTACAAGTTCTCTCAGAGCTGTTCTCTCAAGAGCAGTTTCTGTCAGAGCTCTCTCAGCCTCACCTACCTCACAGGGTGTCTGTTGTGGGGAGGGGAAGGGAAAGGAGTTCGTAAGCCGCTCTGAGACTCCTTTGGGTAGTGAAGGGCGGGGTATAAATCCAAACTCTTCTTCTTCTTCTACCTCACAGGGTGTCTGTTGTGGGGAGGGGGAGGGGAAAAGAGTTTGTAAGCCACTCTGAGACTCCTTTGGGTAGTGAAGGGCGGGGTATAAATCCAAACTCTTCTTCTTCTTCTACCTCCCAGGGTGTCTGTTGTGGGGAGGGGAAGGGAAAGGAGTTTGTAAGCCGCTCTGAGACTCCTTTGGGTAGTGAAGGGCAGGGTATAAATCCAATCTCCTCCTCCTCTTCTTGTTCTTCTGTTGCGCCGCCACCTCAGCAGTTTTCTTCCCAGGTGTAATGTAGTACTTTCAGGCAAGCTAGATAAGGTGTGTACATTCGATAAGGCGGGTGAGGTGAGGTCCACTCTAATTATGTTGCTGCGAGAGATCCTTCAGGCCGTACAGATAGGGTGCAGGGAGGAGGTTGATCAGTCCCACGTTAGGACTTTGCCCAAAACTCTGTTGTGAAGATACAGCTTGGGAAAGAAACAGTGTTTAAATTTCTGGGCATTTGTGTCGTGTCTCGATATTTAGGGTGGAGTAAAGGAAATACTTCTTTACACGGCGAGTGGTTAAAATGTGGAATCGGCAGCCAGAGGACGTTCTGATGGCCACAGGCATAGAAAGCTTTAAAAGGGGATTAGACAGATTCATGGAGGATAAATCTGTCAATGGCTACTAGCCATGGTGACTGAGGGGACCCTCCACATTCAGAGGCACTAAACCTCTAAATCCCAGAGCCAGGAGGCCACATCAGGGGAGGACCTCAGCCTCTCTGCCTTGTTGTTGCCCCTCTGGAGGAGCTGGTTGGCCACTGTGTGAGACAGGACGCTGGACTAGATGGACCTCTGATCTGATCCAGCAGGGCTTTTCTGGTGTTCTTATGAAGGCCTTGGCCTCTCTGCCCTGTTGTTGGCCCTCCAGAGGAACTGGTTAGCCAGTATGTGAGACAGGAGGTTGGACTAGATGGACCCCTGGTCTGATCCAGCAGGGCTCTTCTGATTTTCTTATGAAGGCCTCGGCCTGTCTGCCCTGTTGTTGGCCCTCCAGAGGAACTGGTTGGCCACCGTGTGAGACAGGATGCTGGACTAGATGGACCACTGATCTGATCCAGCGGGGCTTTTCTGATGTTCTTATGAAGGCCTCAGCCTCTCTGCCCTGCTGTTGGCCCTCCTAAGGAACTGGTTGACCAGTGTATGAGACGGGATGCTGGACTAGATGGACCATTGGTCTGATCCAGCAGGGCTCTCCTGATGTTCTAATGTTAGATCACCTGCTCTGTATGTAGGGAGATTTGGTTCCCAACATCTCCAATGAAAAGAATCTTGTCTAGGATGTTGGGGAAAGGCCTGCGTTTTCCATCTGATGCTAGAGAAACATTTGAACAGCTACTGGTTTTTATGCTCTCTGTTGGAGATTGCCCTTTCCCTTCTTCCCCGAAAGCTCAAAGTGCAAATGTCCAACCAGCACCACTGAACCTGCACAGAATGCAGACAAGCCCCCCCCCCCTTTTTTTCTGTTTAGAGTTCAGCCAAAGAGCTCTATCGAACTCAAAGGCCTGCATATTGCTCTACGTCATTTTGGTTGGTCTCAATAAAACGTATAATATTTTTTTTGTTAACTTCTGGATTTTGTTCCGCAGAATGCATTTTAAACTTTTCCTCCCCTCTTTCTCTCTTTTTTCTTTCTCCCTGTTTCCAGACGTTCTTGGAGCAGACGAAGACAAGGTTCACTAGGAACTACAAAGGCATGAACTTTTCAAAAATCACAACCACGGTGGGCTTGAACAGTAAGTGAGCTTGGGGAAGGGAGAGGATCGGGCACAAGGCAGCAAGCAATTTCCTTTGGGTGGGGGGCAAAATTGAGAGATCGAACAGTGGCAAAAAATTTCCAGGCTGTATTTTCCTTCTCCGCCCAGCTCGGGGTAGCACCTTTCTCTGACGCACCAAGGGATGAAGGGAAGCATTGCTCCTAGCAGGGCAGAGCAGGAAAGTACGTCCCCACGCCCTTTGCTCTGGGTGCATTTTGATAGTGGGCGAAAAGGTTATTCTTCAAAGGTGTCGGGATAACTGGTGCTGACTTCTTCTGTGGTGGTAAGAAAGTGCTGACAAGTCACAGCTGACTTATGGGGACCCCCGTAGGGCAGGGGTGTCGAACTCATTTGTGATGAGGGCCGGATCTGACATAAATGATACCTTGTTGGGCCGGGCCATGTGTGTCGTAAAATGCAGTGCCAGGTAGCGGAGATATAAACTTCATAAAGGACACAAACACAAAGAGGTTTTCTTACTTAAAATAAAAACATGCTTAAAACGTATAGCACTCTGGCAATATTTTGTTTCTTTAACAGTGTCTGATAACTGACACCTCTTGCTCTGAATTACTGCATCGAAATGCCTGCGCAGTTGCAGTCTTGAGCACGCTGCTCAGGTGTGTATCTGTAAGCTGCAGACCTACGATGACGCAGCAGCAGAAGTGGAAGGAGAAGCAGAAGATAGCCAGTTCCACTGCGGGCCTGAGAGAAGCTCACCGGGGGGCGTGATGTGGCCCCTGGGCTGCATGTTTGACACCCCTGCTGTAGGGTTTTCACAACAAGAGTAGAGCAGAAGTGGTTTGCCACTGCCTGCCTCTGCGTAGCAACCCTGGACTTCCTCGGTGGTCTCCCATCCAAGTACTAACCAGGACCAACCCTGCTTAGCTTCCGAGATCTGACAAGATCAGACTTCCATGGGCTATCCAGGGCAGGGCAGATGAACAGAGGCGGTTGGCCATTGCCTGCCTCTGCGTAGCAACCCTGGACTTCCTCGGTGGTCTCCCATCCAAGTACTAACCAGGACCAACCCTGCTTAGCTTCCGAGATCTGACGAGATCGGGCTAGCCTGGGCCATCCGGGTCAGGGCAGACTGATAGAGGTGGTTTGCCCTTGCCTGCCTCTGCGTAGCGACCCCGGACTTCCTTGGTGGTCTCCCATCTGAGTACTAACCAGGGCTGACCCTGCTGAGCTTCCGAGATCTGACCCGATCGGACTCACCTGGGCCATACAGGTCAGGGTCCAGTTGCTTTAGAGACCATATTTTGCATTGGTTTATCTGCTGGCCGACCTCTGCCTTTTGTACAGGATTCTGGGTAGTCTGAGTTGGGCATTTGAGCAGTCCCTCCCACCAGTCAGATATTGGTTGAGTACTTTAAAAGTGGCTGCCTAATAGCCCAGCGTAGCCCGATCTCATCAGACGTTCAAAGCTAAGCATGGTCAGACACAGTTAATACTTGTATGGGAGACCCCCAAGGAAGTTGTGGGGGCACTTTGTGTGTGTGTGGGGGGACACTCTGGTGTTTGAGAAAAAACTCTATGGTTACCATGGAGATTTTTCTCAAACGCTAGAGCGTCCCCCCGCAACATGCCCTGCACGATGATATCACTTCCGAGTGATGTCATTGTGGAACGCACACGAAGAATCCCAGAGAAGAACACACACACACACCCGCACTGGTAACCTGGCAACCCTAGGTTGCCTGCTCTGGATTGGGGAAAACATGGAGATTTAGGGGGCGGAGCCTGGGGAGGGCGGGGTTTGGAGAGGAACCTCAGCGGAGTCCACCCTCCATAGTGTCCACCCCTCCAAAGCAGCCATTTTCTCCAGGGGTACTGATCGCTGTCACCCGAAGGCCAGTTGTAAATAGCGTGAAATCTCCAGCTGCCGCTGAATTTTGGCAAGTCTATTTCTCCGTCAAAAGAAAATGTAGCAGAAAGGTTAGCAGGCTCTCGCCCACAAACTCTGCATGTTTCTCCCATTCGGCTATTTTTGCTGGAATACATGAGTCTAGAGTTAACAAAATTCAAACAGAAGATATAGCGTAACAAACAGAAGCTGTTAGAAATAATTTAGTCTGTTACACCAGGTGGCCAGCAGGAGGAGCCATACTGCATGGCTTCAAGGACTTTATTCGATTGTTTTACTCTTGTATAAATATGTGTATTTTAAATGTGTTTAAAGTTTATTTGCTTATCATTTAAATGTGTAGACTGCCCTTCTCTGAGTACACAGAGCCCAGGGCCGTGAACAGCAGAAGGAGCATTTTGTACATTAGTGAAACAATTCCAGCAATTAAATAGAAATAAAATCTTCTAGTTCTTCTAATGCCTCCTGCCATGGGGACTGTGAATTGGGTGGAAAGGTGGCTTTTTTGTTTTTTTGTTTTTTGCCATCAAATCACAACTGACTTATGGCAAGCCGGTAGTGTTTTCAAGGTAAGAGACATACAAGAGAAGAAGAGAAGAGATTGGATTTATACCCCGCCCTTCACTTGGAGTCTCAGAGCGGCTTACAAACTCCTTTCCCTTCCCCTCCTCACAACAGACACCCTGTGAGGTGGGTGGGGCTGAGAGAGCTCTGACACAAACTGCTCTTGTGCTGTTCTCTCAAGGGCAGTCCTCGAGAGAGCTCTCTCAGCCCCACCGACCTCCCAGGGTGGGGAGGGGAAGGGAAAGGAGATGCTCTGAGACTCCTTTGGTTAGTGAAGGGCGGTGTACAAATCCAACCTCTTCTTCTCCTTCTTCCATTGCCAGCAGCTCATTTGCTCTGGGCAAAGGCCTCCTGCCGTGCAAAGAGAAGCTGGCGATCTGGACCGAGGGTCTGATCTGATCAGATGTGATCGGCTCTGCTCAGCACTTTTTCTAAATAGCAGGATGGGTTCCGCAGGGAGGGGCTCAACCATTCCCCCAACACACACCCCACTACAGTTTGCCAATCAAAAGCAGCCTGTCTGTGGTGTCTGTGCTGTACCCCTAAGCAGAAGACTGAGTGTTCCTCCAAAGGGGGGGAAACTATGTGGCGCTGTTAGAAAGCTAGCCTGTCAGGGTCGAGCGCTGAGGCGCTAGTTTTCTGCATGCAAGGATTTTTTTAAAAATTTTATTTTGGGGTATTTTCTTTTTTAATTTTATTTATTTTGGGATATGGAGGTGCATCCGGCGATGTACGCCGCTGCCACCACAGTCTGAAGCGATCCAGCCCTGACGCAGATCGGCCAGCTCTGTGAGAAGGGAGACGTTGAGGAGGGAGGACGGAAGAGTGCGCCAGAGTTCTCCCCACACATCTCCCAGATGGACTGCAAGAAGGCCTTGTGCCGCAGCCGGAATGCCTCTCTCTTGGATTGGCACTGCGATGGGGGGGGGTTTGTAATTCCGCGTTTGGGTGGGATCAGGCTTAGCCCCTGGATCCTCCAGTAGCCAAATCCTACTTCAAGCATCGTTTCCTCTCTGGAGTTCTGTAAATGTGTCAGTGGGCCCACAGACGTAGGCTGGCCTTGGAACCAATAAGGAAACATCTTGCATTCCATCTGTCTTCCAGTTGGCACCATAGATGTGGGCAAAGCCCGGCTGATGTTCTGGGATCTCGGCGGACAGGAGGAGCTCCAGTCTCTATGGGACAAGGTAGGGCTTTGCGAAATGACAGGGCGGGGAACTGGGAACTGTCTTCGAGTCATCGAAGTAAGGGAGGGTCGCCCCAGGGCTTAGTTCTCGTGGCACTTTCTTACACGCCCAGGGAAATGCCTATCGCCACTTTGGGGGTCAGGAAGCAGTTTTTCTCCAGGCCAGTTTGGCTGGAGATCCTGGAGGGGTTGTTTTTTTTTTGCCATCTTCTGGGCATAAAACAGCAGTCACTGCCAATGTTCCCGCTAAACTGTGGAGTCTTGTGAGCAAAAATTCTACTTTGTGAGCTACTGCCATTAAAGTTGTGAGCGAGAGATTTAGCTACTGCAGGAATTAGTTTGCTCTGGAGCCACCCTCCCTGAGCCAAGACAAAAATGTGTGAGCCAGAGGCTGAAAACTGTGAGCTAGCTCACACTAACTCAGCTTAGAGGGAACACTGGTCACTGCAGGTGTGTGTGGGGGGGATGTGTTTGTGAATTTCCTGCCTTGTGCAGGGGGTTGGACTAGATGACCCTGGAGGACCCCTTCCGACTCTATGATTCTACGATTGGGGGTATGGTTTCTCTGAAACTCTGTTAAAGTCCTTGGAAACGGAGATGAGCACCACCCCGTAGAGTCGGATTCGACTCGCTTTCGAGCAAGGGAAACCTTTACCCATTTTAGCCCACCCCGAGCCCATCCGTGGGGAGGGTGGGGTAAAAAATCTAATTAATTAATTAATTTAATCACCTGCTCCCAGGTCCTTTTTTTAGCAGAGGCTCTGCCACTGAGCCACAACCCCATATCTGTAGCCGCTGTCCGGCATGGAATTGTATTTGACACCTGCCCCCGTCGCTTCTGGGCCATTCCAGCTCTGGGCAACATGCAGTGAAAAGACGGCAACCACCGCTTCCCCTTTGCGTGTTAATCCCTGTCCTCCGCTTTTCAGTATTACGCCGAATCTCACGGCATCATCTACATCATCGACTCCACGGACGAGGAGAGGCTCTCGGAATCCAAATGGGCTTTTGGTGAGTGCGCCGGGCGTTTTCTTGCAAAGTTCCTTGTACATCTCAGTTTGGTGTAGTGGTTCAGAGCGGCGGACTCTAATCTGGGAGAACCGGGTTCGATTCCCCACGCCTCCACCTGCAGCTGCTGGTGTGACCTTGGGTCAGTCACAAGTTTTCTCGGCGCTGTCCTCTCAGGAGCAGTACTCGAGAGAGCTCTCTCAGCCCCACCTTCCTCACGGGGTGTCTGTTGTGGGGAGGGGAAGGGAAAGGAGATTGTAAGCCTCTCTGAGACTCCTTCGAGTGGTGAAGGGCGGGGTATAAATCCAATCTCCTCCTCTTCTTCTTCCTCTTCTTCTTCCTCCCCAAGTTCACGTCTCCCTTTTTCTGACCCTCAGAGAAGATGATCACCAGCGAAGTCCTGGAAGGCGTTCCGCTGCTGGTCCTCGCAGAACAAACAGGACGTCGAGCTAAGGTCTTTGCTGAAATACGAGCGGGCGAGCGTCCAAAATGAGTGCCTTTCCCTTTCGTTTTTGAAGAAGACTCCCGTCTTCGTGCCAGGATGTAATCTCTGGCTCCAATCTCACGCTTCGCTGGGTTATTTCCTCCCCCTCCCCCCTGAAGTCCTTGCTGCGAACGGTCTTGAATTCCAGGAAACTGAAAACGCCACTCTTGCTGCTTTGGAGTATTCTGTGCGCAAACACACCGCAAGACATCAGGCAGCTGTTCTGCGTCCGTGTTGGTTTGGTATTCAGGAATGATCACATACTGAGGAGGGAGGGAGGTTAGCCGCTCCCTTGCAGGAGTTGGGGGGTGATCCATGAACTTCTATAAACAGAGCGGCAGTGGGATCGAAGATGAGCTTTTTGTGGGTGAGCCTTGGAGTGCTCAGACCACCCTGGACGCGAGGGCTGATTTGACTTGACCAAGATGCCTTGCCCTAAAAAGGAAGTCCCTCAGTCAAAAGAGTCGCAGTTCCCATTTCTTCTTCCCTCGTCACTCGTTAGCTCCGTTTCAGTGATTGCAGCCAGTTTGGTGTAGTGGTTAAGTGCGCGGACTCTAATCTGGGAGAACCGGCTTTGAGTCCCCACTCCTCTACACGCAGCTGCTGGATGTCCTTGGGCAAGCCATAGTTCTGTCAGAGCTGTTCTTGGAAAAGAGCCGTTTCTGTCAAGAGCTCTCTCAGCCCCAGCTACCTCCCAGGGTGTCTGTTGTGGGGAAGGGAAGGGAAAGGGATTGTAAGACGCTGTGAGACTCCTTCGGGTAGTGAAGGGTGGGGTATAAATCCAATCTCCTCTCTTCTTCTTGATCAGAGCAGAGCATAAATGCTTTTGGATATAAAATTGGCATCTGCAGAGGAAGCCCATGGGAAAGCACCTCTGCTTCTCACCAGTTTGGTGTAGTGGTTAGGAGCGTGGACACTAATCTGGGAGAACCGGGTTTGATTCCCCACTCCTCCACATGCAGCTGCTGGTGTGACCTTGGGTCACTTACAAGTTATTGCAGAGCTGTCCTTGAAAAAGAGCCTTTTCTGTCAGAGCTCTCTCAGCCCCACCGACCTCACAGGGTGTCTGTTGTGGGGAGGGGAAGGGAAAAGGAGATTGTAAACTGCTCTGAGACTCCTTTGGGTAGTGAAGGGAGGGGGTACAAATCCAATCTCTCCTTCTCCTTCTCCCTCTCCTTTGCCTTCTCTTTCTTCTGGGAAGGAGCACACGTTTCTCAGGAGCTGACCCGTCTGTCCTTCCTGATTGCCCTGTTATCTCCAGTGCTTCATTTCCGGTTTCTAGGGATTTTTCTGGTCGAAGATTTATTTCCTCTTTTCCACTTCAGTTTCCTCTTTCCGTAGTGTCATCGGCTGCCCTGCGTTGCCCTCTGTGTTTGTGTTAAGTGCTTCCCACTCATGGCGACCTTAGGGGGTGACAGCCTCCAAAAAGTTCCACCGTTGCCCTCTAGGGGGAGCCATCCTCTCATCGAAATCTAGGGTTGACCGGCCTGCCAGTTTAACGTTTGCAACAGCCAAAGAGACGTGGGAGGTCTGCGATACGGACCTCCCCGGTGTATTGATTTTAACTTAAACATAGCTGTCCGGGCTAGCCTGCTTCACTAAATACAACGGGACCACGGAGATACTCAGTACAATAACAAAAACAAAATACACCGTGCAGAGAACGGATTGCTCAAGGTGAAATACCACTAAAGTGTTACTTAAAGGCATGTGTCTCAAACATAATAAATGAGAAAAATCATGCATGGGGATTAAAGTGTAAATCTTTTAGCATGATCCACACGTGCTTATTGCTTATTAAAGCACAGAAGCGGTGAAAGTCCAGGGCTCTGTTTGTAGGAAAAAGCCCCGCAGGAACTCATTAACGTAATAGGCCACACCCAACAGCAGCAACTCATTAGCGTATTAGGCCACACCCATGACAGTGCAGCTCATTAGCCTATTAGGCCACACCCCCATGTTACCAGAACTGTGGTCATAGATCTGCCCTCACAGAGAAGGGAGAGCTTGTACCTGAATAAACCTTGGTCTTAAAGGTGCAACTGGACTATTTTGGATTGCTAGCTATGGGGGGGGGGACACACACAGAGACACACACAGATCTGCACAGAAAGAGAGAGAGAGAGAGAGAGAGAGTCGATCTCTAGAGTCGAATTCAACTGGCTTTCGAGCAAGGGAACCTTTACCTTTAACCAAAGAAAACAGAGCTAGTGCATCTTGGACTGATGCCTGAATCCCCATTCTGCCATGTAAGTCCACTAGGTGACCTTGGGCCTGTCACTCTCCGACTCAACCTGACATACCTCACAGGGTGGTTGTTGAGAGGCCAAAATGGGCAAAAGGAGAGCACTGTGGTAAGCTATTCTGGGTCTCCGCAGAGCAGAAAGATAGGGTATAAAAATCTAAATAAATAAGACCGGCAGACAAAGATTGGCCCCATATGTGAGTTTAGAAGAGAAATGGCTGAAAAAGACGCCACCGCATAAAAGCCGATAGCCCAAACAAAACACTGTTGCTGCAAAAAATAAATAAATGCAAGCGGCGTGCACAGGGGTGGTCGTGCCCCATGCAGAGGCTTGACCAGAGTGACTCTCTGGAAGGTAAGAGGCTGTACCACTGAGCCACTCACCTGCCCGCTCCCTCTGGCCGGCAGACACAGTGGCTGCTCCTAGCAGCCGGCCTGTCATCTTTCCCTCATAGGCAAAACCTCTGCTTGACCTTTGGCTCTCTGGCAGTCGCAGGGGGGTGGGGGGTGAAGAGGAGAGGAGGAGGGCTGGGGAGGAACATACGTTCCTGGGCTCAACCTCCCCCAAAGAAGGTATTTTGCACAACTTGGAATACGTAATAGACGATGCAAAATCTTGGCGGCAGATCGGGATTCTTGGGTACTTATCAGGAATTCCATTCCAGCCGCATGTGCTTATGATACGACGGGAAGATTCGTGAAGCCGGGTGTTGCTAAAACAGGCGTTGTCAAGGGTGTATCGGCAGACCCAAGTCTGGTTTCTGGGGAGAGGCTGGGTCATACACACCTGGGGAGGAGGGAGCGGAAATTCTCCTCTCACCCCGGCACCTTTCCGGGCAAAGGATTCGTCAGCAGTCTCTCACTTCCCTTGTGAAGCTGTGCCTTGGCCGTTCCTGTGCCTTCAGTACTCGAGTTCATCTTCCCGCCCACCCCTGGCCCATTGCTAAGTTACACCCAGGGGTTCTTTAAGGTATTCCGTTGGCCCATGCAAAGGATACCTCTCCTCCACAGCCTCTGTTGAGAAGAAGAAGAAGAGAGCGAGAGAGAGAGATTTGGATTAATACCCCTTCACATCAGCAGCTGCAAGTGGAGGAGTGGGGAATCAAACCCAGTTCTCCCAGATTAGAGTCTGCACACTTAACCACTACACCAAACTGGGTCCCAGCCAAGCCCTGGGTGGTGCATAATACGGAACACATCCACCCTGTCCTGAAGGCATTACACTGGCTGCCGATAGCATACCAAATTCGCTTCAAGGTGCTGGTTCTTACCTTTAAAGCCCTTTATGGCCAGGGTCCGACATACCTGAGGGACTGCCTTTCCTCGTATAGACCCCAGAGAGCACTACGGTCACGGAATCAAAATCGATCGGCCCTCCCAGGCCCTAAGGACGCCAGGCTGGTGGCAACCAGGGCCAGGGCCTTCTCAGTGGCGGCTCCACACCGGTGGAATGCGCTCCCGGAAGAGATCAGGGCCCTGCAGGACCTTTTGTCATTCCGCAGGGCCTGCA